CTTACCTTCATGAACTTAGTTCAGCATTATGTCTTACTCTAATTAAATCTCTCAGGGGCCTTTTTTAAGTTGCTTAATGAAACATTTAAAAATTTCATTTATACACTTAATATTCAGTTTTTGCCTTAAAGTCGTGAGCTGATTAAGTATTGGTTTGACTTACTTTGTCATTTTCATGTTAAATTTTAAATCTTTCTAAAATTTAAATGTTTTCCCATAAGGAAATGATTAAGTAAATGCAAACAGTTTGGGAGTATACCTTCAGTGTTATTCAGAATTCCATAGCTATGACAAAATACTTGAGAAAATCAACTTAAAGGAGGAAAGGTTATTTTTGGCTCATGGTTTCAGAGGTTTCATTCCATGGTCAGCCAGCTCCATTACATTTAGGACTGCAGTGGGACAGAAACATCATGGCAGAAGGGCATTGAGTAGGAAAACTGATCACTTCATGGAAGTGAAGAGTTAAAGAGAGTGGAGAAATAGTCAGGACAAGATATACCTCCCCTAGAATACATCCCCAGTGACCTTCCTCCTTCAGCCAGGCCCCTCCTCTAAAAGGTCCCTCCACTAGCACCTCAGGCCCTCACACTTTCAAGTACATGGCCTTTGAAAAACACTTGATATCTGTATCCACACCATCACATCTGCTTGGTTGATTGAAGGTCCATAATACGCAGAGAAATATGTTCAGAGAAATTCCTCCTGTCAGTGACAGCTTGGTTCTGTCCCGTTTGGTAATAAAAATGTTACAAACTCTAATATTAAAGAAAAAAATGCAGGGGTACATGAGGATTACATAGGCTGTCCCTGAAAGAAAGTTGTGTTGTCATATGCCTTTCAGGACAGACAAGTCTAACCTTTACCTCTTTTTCCTACTTTGTGTTTTGAGTACTTTTCCTACTCTGAGCTCTTATTAGGAACTTACTGGACATCTGATTGGAATGCAGATGTTCATAGTGTCTTCCTGCCATTTTAGGCTCTAAGGTTGTTCTTATCACAGTGATGTGGGCTGTTCTTTGGTAAGGAATCTACTCACTGCAGCACAGTTTAAAACAGTCTGGCTTTAATTGTATTGTTATCTAGGGTTTACAGTCTCATTTATGTAGACAATCAACTTACTATCGCTTTTTTCTCTACAGAAGGCTAAATCTCTGAAGATGTCTTCTAATAATGACCAGGTTGTTATCCCAATGCTACGAAGACACACCAATGGCCTCCCTGAGATGATCTCTGCTGATGGGGAGACAATTACCCAAGGAGCTGTGTTGAGTTTTCATAACATCTGCTATAGAGGACAAGAGAAGAGAGGCTCTCTACTGCGACGAAGAATAGTTGAGAAAGAAACTCTATGGAATATCAGGTATGTGCATGAACTTTTTAAAAATCACTTTATTGACCTACTATCAACCTCATAGGCTTTGCCTGTAACCAATAAGCTGAACATTTATATACAAGTCTTTGTAGAGACATGTAGACACATGCTTTCTTTCCTTTTGGATAAACTTGGACTGAAATGATTGGTTCACTTGTTAAGTAGGTTTAACTTTGAAAGGAACTGATAAATTCTTTGTAAAAATCATTGCTTTCTGTGTTTGAGAAACCAAACAATTAATGTGTCATTTAGTTTTGAAGTGGGAACTAAAGTGTGGAGAGAATAAAGCATGTCTATAAAACTTTCTCACTGTCAGGTATCTGAAATAGATTGCATATGCTAGACATTGGGGTTGTTACTGTTTTTCTCATTTCTAGAGAACAGAGGCTATAATTTCCTTCCACAGTGACTGGAAGTGAATTTTGTTTTTCTCAGACAGCACAGCATACAAGTCTTTTCTGTTTATTTTTTAAAAAAATAAAATAAAATCGTTATTCCTACAGCAAGTGAGCAACTTTTTTTTTTTTTTTGAGTCTCTAGGACAGGAGCAGGTGGTGACAAGAGGCCTTTAATCTGGTGTAGCTATAGTCCTATATGGAATCAGATGTTTGTCCTATTTCCTTGATATTTTGTATGTGACTGTGATCTTCTGTGTTAGTAGCAGCCATCTTCCTTAGAGGCAAGGAAATGTTGAGGATTATCCATGTTTGCATGTGGGTGAGAGCAAAATGTTCAGGATCTGAATGATGACTGAGCTGAGGCCTGGAGCACTGTGCTGATTGGAACTCTCTCCATGCTCTACACCTGACGTCATGTCTTCTTGTCTCTTTCTTGTGTTGGTTACATTCTGACTAGGAGAATATGGAGAATAATGGTGGATGCAAAACTGTCATTTTTAGCTGCATGAGTCAATAGGTTTGACTAATGAACAGTTGAGAGCATTTTGTGAAACATAATCAAGAAAATGTTGGTGCTTCAGATTTTGTGATGAAAGAGGCAGAAAGTAACAGGAATTGAATACGGGCAGGTTTGAATAGCTGTAAAGTGCATGCTGTGTGCTAATATGTTTTAGCTAGCACCTCCTTGCACTGACTCCTCTAATCCATGTTCCTATTGAGTGTGCCTGAATGGTGTACTTCTTGGTAAAGGAGGAGGTCATCATCTAGTGCTTTCCACGGCTTAAAAAAGTGCAGTCATATATCACCATACTTACAATTTTTACAGTTTAAAGGACAATAAGCGTGGATATTCATAAATACATTTCTGTTTCACAGTTCCTTGAGAAGAGTCATCCATGCCATGTTTCTCATCTTTCCGTTGTTTGCTGGTTTCAAATAAGTAGAGCCTCTGGAATCAGTGAAGGGTTATTCTCATGATACCCATCACTTGGGCTTACCCTCGCCAGTGATGATGATCTATCTAAAAAAATGTATTTCAGCATTCCAGTAGATCTACACATATCCTATGATCATGAGGAAAATTTATTATACGTTTTGGGAGATTTGCAGAATGATAATTTTTTTGAGTGATGTCAAACCTAATCCTCTTACCAGATTCCTACCGTCCACACTGCACTGCATTTGCTCCCCTCCCTGTGTCTCTTTCCTTACTCATCGCCATTAGTTTTTTTGGCAATCATTTGAGAGCAGGCTGTTCATGTGATGCTCCTTCACCCCTAACTCCTTCTTAGTTAGTTTGCAGAAAGAAGGACTCTTTTATGTATAATCTCCAGTTGTTTTCTGGCAGCAGCTGAGGGGAAATAGAGCCTCAGAATGAAGGAAGGAGTGGTCCTCAGGGCTGCCCATCACCTTGCTCCTCACATAGGTAACTGGCCACCACATCGTGTCTCTGCAGGCTCATACAATCTGGTATTTTTTTGTCCCAACCCCTGCTGGTGATTTTAATATTGATCACCTGGCTGTGTTGCTGTCCGCAAACTTCACCATAATGCCGCCATTTTCCTCTTTGGACATTATTAGTATTATGAGGGCAGATGCTCTGAAAATGTTTCAGAATCCTGCTCCTCGTTGAGCTGCAACTCACCAGCTTCAGTTCCCATTTGTGGGTGCTGTCTGGATCAGCAACACGGTGGTAGTAATTTTCTATTTTATTATCTCATAAGTTTCATTCTAGAAGAGGAAATAGCTTCATTGATGGTCCTTTCTTTCATTTACTGTACTGACCCATGAATTCCTATTTCATTCAGCAGCATTCAATACTAATGCATGGTTATGGTTATTTACCTTGATACACCTATTGTTCCTGGTTTGGTCAGTGGAAAATCTTCCCAAGAGAGTTCCCTTTGTCCCTTTTTATTTTGATTTATCCCCTAATCCTTTGAGGACTTCCTTAGCACAGCTAGAAGTTCCAGACTCCTATGTGCATGATGGCATAGGCTTGTAATTTCAGCTACTCAGTAAGCTGAAGCAGGGGGAATCACATGTTTGTGGCCAATCTCGAAGCTTAGAGATAACATGACTCAAAAGAAAATTTAAAAGTGGCTGGAAATGTAGTTCAGAGGTAGAGAGGTTGCCTAGCATGCACAAGACTCTGGGTTCAATCTCAGTACCCACCTAGCCGCCCCACCACGAGAAGTTGCAGACTCACCATATAATTACCTTGCCAGACCTGGGGCCAGTTTCTGTTCATTCCTGTGGAGGATGGTATTTAAAAATCAACATCTGGGTGTTTAGAATGCTCATTGCTATTGGTGTGTCATTGCTCCTAGGTCTTCTAAATGGACAGACCTAGGGAAGATATGCGTGTATGTACATATACACATATGCATACACATACATTTATAACATTGTTAAGGAAAAAACTGCCTCTGTGGCTTTTGGGGTGTGAAAGAAGGGTGGAAGGGGTTGGGGATGTAGCTCAGTGGTAAAGCACATACCTAGCATGTGCAAGGCCCTGACCTCAATCTCCAGGACAGGGAGGGATTGAGGGCAGAGGGTAGAGCAGGGAGACCAAGGAGTTGTGGAACTTATGCTAGAACAAAGGCCAGCATACCCTTTCTGTGACAGGCCAAATCATAAATATTTTGAAATTTATGGGCTATT